TATTATTCCATAAACCCCAACATAATTGCATGAGAATGTGATTATTTTGTGTTTTCGGTCTGTTAACTAAACTAGAATGAAGAGAAGAATATAACCTGTTTTAGAATCATTTTATACAGATTTTGTAGATTCTTTCTGCATGAGAATATCTCTGTATGAGTATCTTTCTGCATTAGAACCTGCAGATCATTAGTATATGTCTCATTCTTTTACAAACCGGACGAATTTCGGCAAAAAATAACCTAATTATCTCCGATTTGGCTGAAATTTTTTTTATTAGCTTCGTTCATAAAATAAAAAGACCTGTATTTCAGGAAAAAATTGTTTTCCTAGGAGATATGGACCCATGGGGTCTTGAAAATTGTCATTGTAGACACATTTTCAAATGGCTATATCTGAAGCTCTATAAATGATAGAAAGTTGAAATTTACTGCATTTTAAAGATAATTGATTGACTTTTAAGAAATTGTTTAAACAATTACAATTGTTTGTATTTAAGTACTAATATTAAGCATGTAATTTCAAAAAAAATTTTTTCTCAAAACAGGTATACAAAATTTTAGTTTTTCATATTTTATTTAGATTTAGTTTTAAATTTTACTTAGAAATAAAAATTTTCAGTATGGCTTTACTTTTTGATTTTTTAAAAAATTTTTTATCTCCCGCAAAGCATATCAAGCACATCCGTACTATATTTTAATTGAATGAATTTTCTAAGAATCTACTACAAATATTCTTATATAATATTATTGATTTCGATTAATAATAAACTACTACAAAAAACTCAAAAATTTCAGGACGATATTGTCCTTAGAAGTACTTCTAAAAAATTGATTTATCCTTCACATCGCACTAAACACATGTACACGATTTTTCAGTAAAAAAAAAGAGGAATATTTTACAAACAATTTTAGTTTTTAGTTTTAATTCTGATTAACCAATAAATTCTACTTAAAAAATAAATATTTCCAGTGTGGCATTGCTTTTAGAAGTAATTAAAAAAAATTAATTAATCAGGTGTACTTGACGTTACTCATACGCACCACAATATCATTAAATCAATTTTCGAAGCAAAACGACACAAAACACTTAGATGTTGTTGGTTTTTATAAATTAAATTTATAAATAAATTTTAATTTAAATATATTTATTGCTTTATTCTGTTTTATATTAAATCATTTATGAAAATCACAGACCACATATAAATTCTTCACTTGAAGTGCACATAAGTAAATCTCACATGCAATTCTATAAAGCAATGCAATGCTCAATCACTTATGAATACTTTTTGGCTTATTTTTTAATCATGTGAGTAGTTGGAAATTTCAGTGCTAAAATATAATAAACATATTCATTAAAGATACTGGAATGACTACAACAACAACTACAAAAATAATAAGAACTTTAACAGAATTCAAATTTTATTTCAGAAAACTGTGTAAATATTTAGCATACTTGTCAAAATATTTTAAACCCTTTCCTCATCGCAGAGACCCACACATATTCGTCCATCTTCATAATCATAAAATAGTTGTATGCATCGAAATGGTACCAAATCCGCACATACTTGGTGCAGCTATTCTGTTCCAGTTGCGGCGTTTTGGAATAGCGCTGCTATGGCGCTGTGGTGCTGTGGTGTTGTGGTGCTATGGGACTATGGTAATTGCGCACCCAATGATGAGTGTGTACAGCTACATAGCATCAAAGCAGACAATTTAAGTTTTGTTTGCGTATGTCAGCACTTTTAACCCATTTTCGGGCTATACTCCAAACTGCAGTTACCAAACAATCTCGAGAGAACTACTTTTGGCATTTTGGTTGAATAATATTTGAGATCATAATGGATTTTTGGCAATTTAAATAATATTGCAGTTTTATGCAAACAACTCCACTTAAAGAAAAACTACTAACTACTAACTACTAACTGCTGAAAAATACTACGAGCTGCAAAAAGCAGCAAATATACTCGTATAAATTTAAAGTGAACGTACGCCATTGTCGGTGCCTAAAGCGGTGGTGTAGTGTGGGAGCTGTAGTGTCTATAAAGTGAAGGCAAAGTAGTTGATCATTGGATTTTACATAGTGGAAATGAGGTTATTAGAACTTTTAAATTTCAATACTTTTAACACAACTGCAAATAAAATAAGCTTACGGTTTCGTGTAAATTCTGCCATCGCCAAATATGTGTACTTTACAGTCAAGAGTGCCGATTTTTTTCCACCGTAAGTAATTATACTTTCAAATAATAGAATTTGTTGAAATTAGTTTACTTTGAAATTAATAATTGAAATAGCTTTTTAATAGGCCCGAAATATATTCCAACAATTCAGATGCTTTGTACTTTACGCTGCTGCTCATATTCGTAGAATTCGTGAGTTGGAAAGTGAATCTGTGCTCTGTTTCTCCACAGTTTCATATGAGATTCTGGCTCACTTTGGTTATTAGATTATGATGTTTTAACAGCATTTTCCTTTCTGCACTCGTGCCTTTTACTTTGCTAAAATGGTTTTACTTGAATCAATATTTGCGTAATTTCATTTCGTTTCAATTGAATTCAATTTAGCTGCTGCTGTGCCCTTCGCTGATTCAATTCCATTCCCTACATTAAGGAGCTAGGGAAGCTACAGCGCAAAAACTTCCTACATTCTACTCAATTCAATTTTGACATTTGCACAGATTTTATTTTCTATCAAGAGATTTTTCTATTGCTTAGAAAAAGTGAAATAAAAAATTAGCTTAGTTTAATCAATATAAGGTAAATGGCAACTACTTAAATTAAGTCAGTTTTACCTGATGTTATTATTAAATTAATAATTCCAAAAAAATCTAAGCTTTTTATAATTAAAATATTCAAATACTACATTAATGACTTATAAGATATACCTTTAAAAAGGTATGATCTGCAGACAGTCAAATTAATTGTATACTTTTCCAGGTCATGACCTTGAAGGCATATTCTGCATACAGTCAAATCAATTTTACGCTCTTACTGACCATAGGCTTGTAGGCATGAGTTCGGTACAGTTCTAAAATCGACTGCTAAGTACGCCACTCCTACCGATCAGACAACATTCTCTAAGTTTACAAGAAAATTTTCAGTTGCATTTAAAAATATCGTCAGAGAAAAAAAATATCTGAGGCGGATGTGTGAAAAGTATAGAATACCCACGATTAAATGCAACTTTTTGCCCATTAAAAACGCCTGAAAATATATTGCTCACAGAGATGGCAAATATTCTGAACACTTGCGTACAAAAATTACCACGACTACTTATGGTAGTCGGTAAGAAAATTAAAAATACCTAAGGAGAGTATACCACCGCAAGGCAAGCCTATGGAAAATGAGATAGCAACGAAGTAGATAAAGCAAATGTGTTCGCATACCATTTAAGCCAGGTATTCCAGCCAAATCTCCAGACTAATAACATTTAAGCATTTGAAGATAAAAAATTATGCTTTACTACCTTTCTTGATATAGACTAAACCTTTGACAGGTTTTGGAATACTGGTCTTACTTATAGCATTAAGGAACATACTCCCAACTGCACTCAGAAAATACAGAGTCATATCTACAGAACAGGAAATTTCATATAAAATTTGAAAGATATACAACAGCTAATGTCAACATAAATGTTTAAGGCAGTATTCTTGGTCCAATACTTAACGTTCTGTTTACTGCGGATATATTATACAACTCTCGTCTTGTCACTTTTACATTTGTTGATGACATTGGTATCCTTAGTTCTCATCAAAATAGATTCACAACATCTAGAGACAATTGAATACCTCGAACTGATTGATGTATTCGCATAAACGAAAGTAAAAGCACGTATGTAACGTTTACCTTACGTAAGGACACATGTACCCCAGTTATCTTCAACAGCATCACAATTCCACAATCAAACAACGTATCGTATCTGGGTGATCATTTGGATAGAAAATTTACTTGGTGCAAACATCTTGAGGCTAAACAAGCTAAAATAAAGCTAAATGCACAAAAAGTTCACTAGTTATTGAAAAAACTTCAAGTTACGGCTAAACCACAAAGTGTTGCTCTATAATAGTTTACTTCAGTCAATTTAAAAATGTGGCGCTCAATTATGCGGCAATATGTGTTTTTCCAACATCAAGTTAATTCAGCTTACTCAATTCAAACTCTTTCGCTTTATTACTAGTGTTCTGTGGTATATAGGTTAGGTTAGGTTATACCAGCGATCCCTGGAGTTACCAGTAAAGAACTCGGAGTTTAATATCATCTAGAACCTTTGGAGAAGCCAAAAATGCTGTTTAGTGTCATGTATTCTAATTGATCAAGATCCTCAAAAAAAGGGGCTCCCAAAGTGTTGAGTCACTGCCGTGTATGAGCTGGACATATAAGAAGTGGTATATAAGAAGTAATAAAATTAATGAAGATCTGAAAATATCACTCATCAAATTTGAACTTATTAAAATCAAATGCAAGCACAAACAAAAATTTTAAATTTCTTCAAACCACCTAGCAAGGCATCTACTGCTAAGCTGGCCTTCTTCAAGATCACGCAGAAAAGTTGTACCAACGCTTTGCTTTTTACTTTCATATTTTCATTAAACTATTAACTTCATTTAAACTCTGTTTTCTTTTATTCATGAAATAACTCTTTAAATATCAGCTATTAACTTTAATTATTATTAATTAACTCTAACTAACTAACTATAGTTATCAGTTATTTTTATTTGCTTTAGTTTTTTCAAGATTTGAAGACTTATTGTAAGACTTCTTATAAAAGAGATTCAATAAATAAATAAATATGAAAATAAATATAATTTTATAAAGCTGTTTAATAATACTTACAAATATTAAACGTCTGTGCCAAATCGGATAATGTAAGAATTTGATAAATAATCAGATTAGCAGTTTAGCAGTTTAGCAGTATAAAGTAGGCTGTGTTCCTTCATCACATTTTTTCTTGGAAACGTTATAATTTCCTCATAATTGTATTATAAACAGAGCTTAAGATTTTAGGAATATGTGTTAATGCATTTTCAATGTGCAACTAACTTAAGAAGTAAAAAGTAAGCGTCATTTAAGTTTCTAGACTTCGAGTGTGAAGACGTATTTTTTATACGGACTATAAGTTCTAACTATAATTTTTGTAAAAAAAGTTTTTTCTAAAAAGTGTTAAATTTTTATAAAACTTTCATAAAAATGGGCAACCGATTCGGTAAGTAAATTGTTTTTCTACTTTTTATTTCTTTTTATTCACATGCGCATCCATATTTCTGGGTGCATTATTATATGTCACCACCGTGGACTTCAACTTTGAAATAAAATGCAGATTAAGTGATTGCTCTACATACCATGAAGATTGAATCTTCCGTAATAAATCGTATTTAGTAGTAAAAACGAGCAATTTTCTTTATGGTAACTAAATTATCCATTCACCGCAATAACGGCGTCCATGCAATGGAACAGAAAAATCTTCAAATTGCAACTATTTGACAAGTTTTAATTTATATCAAATTACATCCATTTAATTTAAAAACATCTTAATATATTTTTGGCTTTTTTTTATAAAAAAAAATAGATAAAGACTCCTAAAAAATATATAATTAAATTTTTTTGCTCTCTCATAACTTCTTTGCTTATACGACATCCGAACAAAATCCCGTTAGATGACGTCCAATGTCATAAAAAAAACGATAAAAGAAAAAAGATAAAGAAATGAAAGAGAAATGCACATTGAAAATATCTTAATATATTTTTGAGTTCCTTATGTAAAGAAAAGAAATAGATAAAGACTATTAAAAATTATATGATTAAATTTTTTTTGCTCTTTCATAACTTCTTTGTTCATACGACATCCGAACAAAATCCCGTTAGATGACGTCAAATGTGCCTAATTTATTTTCGGCTACATAAAAAATGAACAAAAAATGATAAAAAAAGAGATGAAAGAGTTATGAAAAATAAATGCACTTTGAAACCATCTTAATATATTTTTGGTTTTTTTTTATAAAAAAAAATAGATAAAGACTCCTAAAAATATATATAATAAAATTTTTTTGCTCTCTTATAACTTCTTTGCTTATACGACATCCGAACAAAATTCCGATAGATGACGTCAAATGTGCCTATTTTATTTTCGGCTATAAAAAATTGTACAAAAAATGATAAAAAAAGAGATGAAAGAGTTATGAAAAAGAAATGCACTTTGAAAGCATCTTAATATATTCTTGGGTTCCTTTTCTAAAGAAAAGAAATAGATAAAGTTAACTAAAAAATATATAATTAAATTTTTTTGCTCTCTCATAACTTTTTTGTTTAAATGACATCCGAACAAAATTACGATAGATGACGTCAAATGTGCCTATTTTATTTTCGGTTACAAAAAAAATGTACAAAAAATGATAAAAAAAGAAATGAAAGAGTTACGAAAAAGAAATACACTCTAAAAGCATCTTAATATATTTTTGGGTTCTTTTTCTAAAGAAAAGAAATAGATAAAGTTAACTATAAAATATATAATAAAATTTTTTTGCTCTCTCATAACTTCTTTGCTCATACGACATCCGAACAAAATTCCGATAGATGACGTCAAATGTGCCTATTTTATTTTCGGCTAAACAAAAAATGATAAAAAAGAGATGAAAGAGTTATGAAAAAGAAATACACTTTGAAAGCATCTTAATATATTTTTGGGTTCTTTTTCTAAAGAAAAGAAATAGATAAAGTTAACTAAAAAATATATAATTAAATTTTTTTGCTCTCTCATAACTTCTTTGTTCATACGACATCCTAACAAAATTACGATAGATGACGTCAAATGTGCCTATTTTATTTTCGGCTAAACAAAAAATGATAAAAGAGAGATGAAAGAGTTATGAAAGAGAATTGCACATTGTTTAACGTACCACAAAGAATCAGTATGTATACGTAATAATTGATAATTCTGTAAAAAATATATCTACATGCAAAACAAGACACATAATTTTAATACTTAGAGTATACTCATAAAAAGACTCATAAAAGGCAAGTGCACAAAATATTGTTGAGTATTTGTAATACTGAGTGTGGGTACAATTGAGTGAGAGTCACAAGAGTGCAAATAATTTTGTTTATAGAGTCAATGAGTATTTAATACAGTGTGCATCAGCAACAAAGTCGCTGATCATACTGCGGGTAGACATGGTTTTGTAATTGCCTAAGCATTTTCAATTGCACATTTTTGACTACGAAAATAAAATAAGCAAAATGCAAAAGCAACAACAAAACCGCACACAATACCAATGTGTGTGCATGTACCTGTGTAGAATCGTGTGGAGTCGTAAACAAAGTTAATGAGAATATTTTGCGTTTTTGTTGTTGCAAAATGCAAATGCAACAACAAAACCGCACACAATACTAATGTGTGTGCACGTACCTGTATACATTCGTGTGGAGTCGTAAATAAAGTTAATGAGAATATTTTGCGTTTTTGTTGTTGCATTTGCATTTTGCTTATTTTCTTTTCGTAGTCAAAAATGAGTAATTGAAAATGCTTAAGCAAGTTCAAACCCTGCTGGTAGACTCTGGTGGGGCATAAGGCCGCAACGATTCTCTTAAACCGTACTCTGTTAGGTGCTTCTCTGCATATATCGTTTCATATGTAGTCCGCTTCTATCATTTCTCTTTCAATCATTCTTCTCCAAGTTAAAGCCGGTGCATCAGGGCGTCTGCTGCCTTGTGAGTTCCATGTCAAAGCTTGTTGTGGAATGTATTTATTTGGTCGTCGGATAGTATGTCCCATCCAATTCTATTTTTTGCATTTTTATTTCGGTTACAGCAGGCTTTCTGATTTTTTTGGAGCAAAAGTTTTGCATTTGATATGTGATTAGGTCACCATATTTCTAGAACTTTCCGCAGGCATTTATTTAAAAATATTTTCATCTTCCTTTCTATCTGTTTTGAATGTTTCCATGTTTTGCAGCCATAATAAAGGACTGCTTTTACATTTGAATTGAAAATACCCATTTTTGTTCTTCTGTTAAGTTTGCCGCGATTTCCATATATTCTGCAATTGTCCAAACACTGCTTGTGCCTCCTTAATGCGGGTTGCAACGTCTTCGTCCGATCCGTTTTTGTTTGTTACCACACTTCCCAAGTACGTAAAAGCACTTACACATTCTATCTCTTCACCGCTTGCTTGCAGACGAGCGTCTTATGTCACGCCATAACCACCATACATACTTTTGATCTTGCTTATATTTATTTCAAGTCCCACACGCTGAGCAGCATTTCTTACTCGCTCAAACATATTTTGTAGTTCGATATGCCTATGGATCAATAAAATAAAATCATCGGCAAAATCTAAATCTTGCAGGTGCTCGAATAGGCCGGATTGAATACCACGGGTGTTTCTAAGGGCTTTGTTCAGAATTTCGTGTAGCGTTAGAATGACTAGGAGAGGTGACAGAATACATCCTTGTCGAACTTTCGTTTCTACTCGAAAAGCCTCAGGCAGTTCTTTTTTGTGTACAACTCTACATTTTATGTTGTTGTATATTTGTTTGATGAGATTTATGGTTTTTGTAGGCATACTTATTTTCCATAACATATTCCAGATAAATTTGCGTTTGAGGCTGTCAAATGCTTTTCTGAAATCTAAAAAAACTACATATATGGGTGCTCGAAACTAATTACATTATTCAAAGCTGATTCTGAGGGTATTTATAAGACCTACACATGATCTGTTTCTGCGGAAGCCATGCTGGTTTTCCCTTAAGATTTTTTTTGTAGCTGTAGAGATTCGCTTGAGTTTATAATATTAATGTTACATGGATTTTCTTTAAACTCATTAATTATACAGCTAAAATAATTTATTTTTAATTATAATTTAATTTGTTTAATTAAAACTTGATTTGTGGTTTTCAAAGTATTAGATATTATTTTAAATTATGAAAAATTGATCATTATGTAAAATAAGATTTTGGTTGTTAATTAAAATGTGTATAATTTCATTTTTTTTAGAATTGTTGTTTATTAATTAAAATTATTTTTATTTTCTAGAGGTAAAATTAATTTTTTTAAATATAGCAAGAATTGTAATAATATTTTTATTTAATTGATTAAGATGAGTTTTTATGTCTCTTATTTTATTAATTTCTTTTTTAGTAAAATTTATTATAGATAGGGGTATATATATTATGAAATATATATTCATATATAATTATTATATATATATATAATACATATTTGTATTCTGTATTTTGTTTGTGTTTTTGAGTAAAGTTACTAGGTATGCAGTTGTTTTTTGATTTTAAATTAAAGTTTGTTTTAGGTCGAAAATATACCAGCCTGAGAGATGATTAAGAAAAAAATACTTTCAGAAATATGAAAACTATTATATAATTTTATCACATTTTCAATAGCTCCAGTCAGCAGTATATTGCTCAAAGCTTATTTAAAATTTTCAATTAATATATTGTTTTAGTGCTTAAAAACATTATACAAAAATAACTTCGTAAAAAAAATTTAAAAATATTTTTTTATTTAATTTTTAGCTAGAGTTTTCAAGGAGTATAACACCAATGCTACTCAGACAGATCTGGCTGGCGATGGTTGGCTCGCCGATGATAGAAATGCAGCTCAGCAGCCGGCTGACCGAAATTTTTCCGTTGTTGACAATCATGCAATAGTTTCTCATGTTAGCTCGATTGCTGATCATGAAGCTATAGTTACTAGTGTTATGCCAAATATCGACCATGATACAATGGATACTAGCTCCGACCAACACAATTGGTGATTTTAACTAAGTTCAAAATAGATATGTGTTTTCTACTCTATACTGATTTTTTAGCGAGACAATTGGGCTCCGTCGACCAGATGTCGAGAATAGAAATGCAGCGGAGCTGCCGGTTAATCAAAATTTAACCGTTGTTGATCGTAAATTAGGAGTTACTGACGTTAGGTCAATTGCAGAATGTAATACTGCTGTAGCAGGTATTATATCAAATGGTGAGCATGACAAACCAGATGTGAATACTTATTCTAACCCTGCGGAAAGGTAATTTTAAGAAAATTTAAAGCAGATATTTGTTCACATCTTTATATTAATTTTTTATTATAATAAATAAATGTAGCAATGCAACAGATAATGATGTGGGTTCCAGTTGTTATATGACCAGAAGTAAAAGAAAGATCCGTGGACCGGCGGCAAAGTTTGGGGTTACTCATAAGTTAAAAGAAGTTCGATTTCAACATGAATTTGAAAAGATTACTAAAAATGTAAAAGTGAGTTATACTATTGTCAATAAAAACTAAAAATTACGATATGTAACACCTTTGTAAATCATTAGAATAAAAGAGGAGTTGAACGATTGTTGAGGAATTTGAAAAGTAAACAGAAGCGGATCAATGGGTCAAAGGTTGCAAAGGTTATTGAGTCAACCGGGTGCGGTCAACCAGAAGTCGAGAATATAAATGCAGCTGAGCTGCCGATTAATCAAAATTTATCCGTTGTTGATCGTAAATTAAGAGTTACTGACGTTAGGTCAATTGCAGAATGTAATACTGCGGTTGCAGGTATATCAATTGTTGAGCATGACAAACCAGATGTGAATACTTATTCCAACCCTGCGGAAAGGTAATTTTAAGTAAATTCAAAGAAGATATTCGTTCACATCTTTATATTAATTTTTTATTATAATAAATAAATGTAGCAATGCAACAGATAATGATGTGGGTTCCAGTTGTTATATGACCAGAAGTAAAAGAAAGATCCGTGGACCGGCAGCAAAGTTTGGGATTACTCATAAGTTAAAAAAAGTTCGACTTCAACATAAATTTAAAAAGATTAATAAAAATGAAAAAGTGAGGGTCAATGGATCAAAGGTTGCAAAGGTTAATGAGTCAACTGAACGCAGTCAATCAGAAGTCGAGAATATAAATGCAACTGAGCTGCCGATTAATCAAAATTTATCCGTTGTTGATCGTAAATTAAGAGTTACTGACGTTAGGTCAATTGCAGAATGTAATACTGCGGTTGCAGGTATATCAATTGTTGAGCATGACAAACCAGATGTGAATACTTATTCCAACCCTGCGGAAAGGTAATTTTAAGAAAATTCAAAGAAGATATTCGTTCACATCTTTATATTAAATTTTTACTTTAATAAATGAATGTAGCAATGCAATAGATAATGATGTGGGTCCCAGTTGTTATATGACCAGAAGTAAGAGAAAGATCCGTGGACCAGCAGCAATGTTTGGGATTACTCATAAGTTAAAAAAAGTTCGATTTCAACATAAATTTAAAAAGATTACTAAAAATGAAAAAGTGAGGGTCAATGGATCAAAGGTTGCAAAGGTTATTAAGTCAACTGAGCGTTGTCATCCAGAAGTCAAGAATATAAACGCAACTGAGCTGCCGTTTAATCAAAATTTATCCGTTGTTGATCTTAAATCAAGAGTTACTGATGTTAGGTCAAATGCAGAATGTATACTGCGGTTGCAGGTAATCAATGTGAGCATGACAACCAAATGTGATACTTATTCAACCTGCGGAAAGGTAATTTTAATAAAATCAAAGAAGATATTCGTTCACATCTTTTAATTAATTTTTATTATAAAATAAAGTAGCAATGCACAGATAATGATGTGGGTTCCAGTTGTTATATGACCAGAAGTAAAAGAAAGATCCGTGGACCGGCAGCAAAGTTTGGGATTACTCATAAGTTAAAAAAAGTTCGACTTCAACATAAATTTAAAAAGATTAATAAAAATGAAAAAGTGAGGGTCAATGGATCAAAGGTTGCAAAGGTTAATGAGTCAACTGAACGCAGTCAATCAGAAGTCGAGAATATAAATGCAACTGAGCTGCCGATTAATCAAAATTTATCCGTTGTTGATCGTAAATTAAGAGTTACTGACGTTAGGTCAATTGCAGAATGTAATACTGCTGTAGCAGGTATTATATCAAATGGTGAGCATGACAAACCAGATGTGAATACTTACTCCAACCCTGCGGAAAGGTAATTTTAAGTAAATTCAAAGCAGATATTTGTTCACATCTTTATATTAATTTTTTATTATAATAAATAAATGTAGCAATGCAACAGATAATGATGTGGGTTCCAGTTGTTATATGACCAGAAGTAAAAGAAAGATCCGTGGACCGGCAGCAAAGTTTGGGATTGCTCATAAGTTAAAAAAGGTTCGATTTCAACATAAATTTAAAAAGATTACTAAAAATGAAAAAGTGAGGGTCAATGGATCAAAGGTTGCAAAGGTTATTAAGTCAACTGAGCGTTGTCATCCAGAAGTCAAGAATACAAACGCAACTGAGCTGCCGTTTAATCAAAATTTATCCGTTGTTGATCTTAAATCAAGAGTTACTGATGTTAGGTCGGTTGATAGCTATGAAGCAGTTACGGGAGTTATGGCAAATGTTGAGTATAAGACAATAGATATGGATACTAGCTACAACCAATACAATCGGTAAGTTTAACTAAGTTCAAAGTAGATATGAGTTTTTAACTCTATACTGATATTTTAGCGAGACAATTGACTATAATACTACTGCTACTCAGACAGATCTGGCTGGCAGTGACTGGCTCACCAATGACAAAGATGTAGCTGAGCAGCCGGTTATGCGAAATTTGTCCGTTGTTGATCCTATATCAAGAGTTACTGACGTTACGATGTTTGCTGACTATGTAACTGTTATTGGTGTTATGGCAAATGTTGAGCATAAGGCAATAGATATGGATACTAGCTACAACCAACACAATTGGTGATTTTAACTAACTTTAAAATAGATATGTGTTTACAACTTTTTACTGATTTTTTAGCGAGAGAACTAAACACTGTCCATCAGATTGCAAGAATCGAAATACAGCTGAGCAGCTGGTTGAGCAAAATTTATCCATTGTTGACGATAAAGAAGTAGTTGGTGATATTAGGTCGGTTGCTAATTATGAGACCATATACACTAATGTTAAGCATGACACAATAGTTGTGAATACTTGTGATAATGATGTGGATTCCGGATGTTATATAACCGGAAGAAAAAGAATAGCACATGGACCAGTAGCACCTTCGGAGGTTACTGCTAAGTTAGAAAGAATTCGAAATAGATGTGAAGTTAAGAATGATGTTAAAAATGAAATTAAAGTAAGTTCTAGTATTGTTAATAATAATTTAAAATTACGTTATTTAACACCTTTGTAAATCATTAGAAAGAGGATCGAATTGAACGAGTGTACAGGAATTTTAATACTTACCAACAGCGGTACAAGGAACCAAAGGTTGTTAGTAAGAATTCGTTTTCGAAAATATATTAACGAGTTAAGAATTGTTCGCCTTAATTAAAAATAGTTTTTAACAGACTGTATTTGAGTTGCAATGTTGGTAACCTTTTAGCTTCATAATCAATAAATTATTATTATTATTGGCATTACTATTGTTGGTATTACTATTATTAATTTATCATAATTGTTCACATCAAAAAGAACTTAAGTCAACTATTTTTATTATCTTATGAACACTTTTGTAACAGTTTTTAGATTAATAAAAATACTACCAGGTTTGATTTTTTACTGCTAGTATATATAGTTTTGTTCTAGTTTCAATCATTTTTTCAAAATACAAGTTTGTTTTGAGACGATGTTTGCCAGAGTAATGTAATGTTTAATTTAATTTTTAAAGTCGATCATGATGAAAGGGATTTTGTATAGTAATAAATTATATCAACTTAACTTTATTTTTATTTATCGAGTTTTTTTTTCTTTTGAAATGTATAATAATTTCATATTATTGGTATATTTCTTATAGGAAAAAATTACAAAAAAATTTTTTTAAATTTTTCGTTCCACTTCAGTGATCGCAGAGTGACTTTTGCATATATTTTGCATATATACATTTTTTGTTATAAGTTCCCAAGTAAGGAATAATCGTTATAAACTAATTGTAGTAATTTGTTTTAATTTGATAGATTCTAAGTTCTAAGCCTTTCACTTGTAGTCCAACAATTGTATATTTCCAAAGACCACTGATAATAAGAATATTCAATTAAGCTGTATGATAAGTAAAAAAAATTAATTTGATTACAAATAAAATTTTGTTGTTATTTACTACTATCTAAAACCCTTGCTATTAATATAACATATTGATAATTAAGCAATATTTTTACGTTTGATTTTTACTATAGTTTTACTTGTTTCTTTAACTTACATATAGAATATTACAAGAGGCTGGATATCGTTACTACCCTTCTACATATAAACAGGGTCCTTTCATTTTTCTTCAAACATAGAGCGTCACAGAGTTTTTATCAAAACTTTAAAATTTAAGATTTATTAGAGCTGAACTATTTTGGTTATTACTTATATCTATCTGAAAAATATTTTTTTGTTTATGATCGTTTCAATTTTGTTGTGCTAGAAAAATTTTAATTAAATTTTATCTAAAGTCAAATTTGAATTTTCATTGACAATACGATCATATCACACGTCTCTTAGTTGGTTACCAAAATTTAGTAAAGAATTGGTGAAGAATAGCTTAAATATTTTCTCAGTGAATATAAATCTTCTTCATCAAGAATATGGCTGATTCGGACCACATTATAGGAAATACAGAACCTCCGGACATAACCCCTCAATTAAATTTGGTATCACCGGCTGAGTTTACAACTATGGTAACGGAACTCATTGAAATTAAAAAACTCAATGAGCTCTTGCAGGTAAATTACTCTAATTTGTTGCAGCAATTTCAGGAGCTGACATTACATTGCGCTGAGATGGAGCAACAGCTGAAAAACTGTTTACAACCAGATGCAATTTGTATGCAAGGTAACAACAAAAGGAAGAAGGTTTCTCCACCCTCTTCACTTAGGGATGAAGATCTGGAGCTTGCGTTCACCAATGTGGAGTCCAACTCCCCAGTTAGTGAGGCCACCGCCCCTAACGCGGAAGACTTTCCCTCCTATGACCTAAAAATAAAGTCGATTAAACAAGCAAAAAAAACAATTAAGAATAGAGTCTCCAAAACCTCGACTAATCCAGCTGTTTTTGAGGTCGACAAGACCCCTTCCACCCAGGGTGAGGAAAACATCCAGTTAACTTCAAACCTAGCCGCACAACCCATGCCAACAGATTCAATTACTCCCATTATAGCTCCCATTCCAAAAATGGTTAATCCAGTGCCAATAGTACTTCGCGAACCAGAAAAATGGACCAAAATAGTAAAGGAGCTTGCCATACAGAAAATACACTTTACTTCAGCTAAACATATTCGTCTAGGTATCCAAATTTTACCAGCTACGATTGACGACCACAGGAAAATGACAAGGCTCTTCAATAACTCTAAGGTGAACTTCCACACGTACTTTCTGGAGAATGAAAGACACCTCAACATCATTATAAGAGGTCTTGATGGGATAGATACGGCTGAGATTCAAGAAGACCTTGAAATGCAAGGCTTCCATATTTACGAATGCCATTTTTTGAAAACCAAATCTAACTCTAATCTAGTCAAAATAAGAGTCCCCAAAGATGAAAAGCGCATTTATGACATAACATCAATCTGCCACTTAAAAGTAACCATTGAAGCACAACGTCCGAAAAGTGGACCACCACAATGCCATAACTGTCAGCAATATGGTCATGTGGCTACTAACTGCAAATCAACTCCGAAGTGCGTCAGGTGCGAAGAAGAACACCACCACCGGTCATGCAATAAACCAAAAAACGCCGAGCCAGTATGCACAAATTGCAAAGGCAACCATTCGGCAAACTATGGGGGCTGTCCTTTCAACCCACGAAACTCCAAACCATCTCCCAAGTCCAAAGCTCAGAAAACTGAAGACAATGCTCAACCGATAATAAGCAATAGCACCAAAGTCTTCCCAACGAAGACATACGCAGAAATTGTTTCCTCCACCAACAGCCTACCCAAAATCTCGCAACAAAACTTCCCAGGTACGCATTTAGAACAGCTTTTCACGATCATGCAGCAAAATCTTAGCACCATAATGAAAAACATGATGCGATCCATGTTGCAGACACTCTTACCCACCGCCAACCTAATATGACGCTACATCAAAATAACCTAAAAGTCATAACCTGGAACGCCAACTCCTTAATAGGGAAAAAATCGGAAGTAACACAATTTTTGCATGACAATGAAATAGACATAATGATGATACAGGAAACATTTCTTAAAGCTTCTAGCTCACTCAAATTCCCAAACTACTCTTTATAGAGAATAGATAGAAACGGCAGAAGGGGCGGTGGCACGGCAATCTTAGTAAAAACAACTATTAAACATCACCTCATAACAAAAGATCCGGGATCGCTTGAGTCTACTACAATTAAAGTAGAAGCATTCGGCTCATATATTACATTCACATCAGCTTACAGAGCACCAAATAATGCTATATTTCTAAATGACTTAACTCGCCTTCTGTCCAGCAATGAGCCCACTTTTCTAGCGGGGGATCTAAACGCTTATAACAGGAGCTGGGGTGATAGCGGAACAAACTCGGCTGGGCGTACTATCAACAACTTAGTACATGACCATTTGCTCCAGACCCACATTCCGAGCGAGCCGACTCATTTCGGCAGTGGTGCGGGTCACATACTAGATATTGGCATCTCCAATAACTTGGACTACAATGTACACATTGAAGTTATTGATGAGTTAGACTCAGACCACAAACCGGTGTTATTTGTCCTACAGAACTGCCATGCTACCATCTTTACTCCATCAATAACTATCACCAACTGGGCAAATTTTAAGGATTCCTTAAGGCTGGTGGACTTCAACGATCAAATTGAGACCACAGAGGACCTAGACACCAGCATAGAAATTCTTACAAGTAAAATTCTAGAGTCTCTCGAAGCATGTTCCTCACTCAGGACCAGGAATCCTAAAAATTACTTTCTTCTTCCAAGGCATATTAAAGAAATTATAAGGCGCAGAAACCGTTTCCGAAGATGGGCTCATGCAACAGGTGACCCACAAATCAGGCGTGAAGCGAACCGTCTATCCAACTTAGTCAAAACTATGATATCTTCGCATAATAACAAAAAATGGGAAGAATTCATGGGCAGCCTTGAACCCGGGAATAAAAGTTTTTGGGGCCTAAACAAGTATTTTAGAGTCAAGAACAAAATCATGACTCCTCCAATACTTGGTGCTGGAGGGCTAAAATTTACAGACTATGAGAAAGCTGAAGAATTCGCCCACTCCTTGGAACTCCAATTCCAAGTGAACTGTGACGAAGATGATGACATTGATTATGAGGAAAATGTTGTTGAACAGGCCAATAGGATCCTGAACTCTAGCAACTCTTCTACTACCCCTTCCACTAATCACTGTGAAATAGCATTAATAATAAGTAATCTCAACAAACGATCTGCCCCGGGTTATGATGGTATCGGCAACATCTGTCTTCAAAACCTTCCAGAAAACGTCCTCATCAAAGTAGCGGAAATAACCAATGCAATTCTTAAATTTGGGTACTTCCCTATTTGTTGGAAAAAAGCGAAGGTCATTATGCTTCCTAAACCAAACAAAGACCTGAAGTTCCCACAGAATTGGCGTCCCATCAGCTTGCTTCCTACTCTGGGGAAAGTAGCAGAAAGAGTCATTCTGGCAAAATTGAAAGACCACCTAAGCTCGAATAATATTATCCCTGATGAGCAATTTGGCTTCAGAGACAACCACTCAACGGAACTACAATTGGCCAAAATAGCACAACATATACAATCTGCACTTAGAAGTAGGATGTCGACTGGTCTTATCTCTTTTGATGTCGCTAAAGCCTTTGAGAAAGTCTGGCACTCGGGCCTAATTGTGAAAATGGCTGCTCAGAACTTTCCACCATCTGTCATCAAGCTCATAGGCAGTTTCTTAAATGAAAGGTCGTTCCAAGTCAAAGTAAACAATTCCACCTCTTCAGTAAAATCGATACAGGCTGGAGTACCACAGGGGTCACCGTTATCTCCACTGCTCTATAGCCTGTTCACTGCAGACATACCGAAACTCGAGCCTTCTATGCTATCGCTCTATGCTGACGACACTTGTATTGTGTACTCAGACAAAATAGCCTGCAATGTCTCCAATACCATACAGAGTCACATTGACGTGCTTGTTCAGTATTTTAAAAAGTGGAAAATAAAACTGAACGCAGAAAAGACTCGGGCAATTTTTATTACCAGAAAGCGCCGCCAAGCTCCCAGAAAATTAAAGGTAGAAGAACAAGAAATAGAATGGGCCGATACTCTCAAATACCTAGGCATAACCTTTGATAACAAGCACTCCTGGAAAGCACATTTCAAGTCCAAACGAGCTCAAGCTGCCCGAATATTACACTCCCTTCACCCGCTCATCAGCAGCAAAAAGCTCAACATAAAGAATAGAGTTAGCATATTTAAGCAAATTATTAAACCAGGACTACTCTATGGCAGTA